GCCCATACGGCTCTAGATATAAAAACCACACAAACAACTGAAGATGCACGCGATGAGCAGTTTGCGAAAAAACACAGATAAAACTAGAAATATGCGGCCAACAATAAAACTTATTCAACTCTTGCTTTTGTAAAAAATCAAGCGTGCAATACCAGTGATGTTATGACTTTGATTGAAGTTATAAAATGTATTATGATAGTAAAAAGCAGCTCTTTAAAATACTGAAGTAAATAGTAAATTCAGTGATTTTATCGCCAGTATTTACGATATGCTTTCAGCTTCGGTTATTATTATCCGTCTTAATTGATTTTTTAATTATGCATGAATTTTTCATTACTATACAGATACTATCGAAGACATGATTTATGCAAAACAACATTTAAAAGCATTTTCAGCATTATTGAAACTTAACGATACAATAATCATATTTAAAAAAATCTTCAACAGAATCAACCGAACACAGGCCATTAAGATAAAGATCTATAAAGATCTCGATGAGCTGTATTAATGTTATTTGCAAGCCACTGATCTGAGTTTCATGACAAACTACAAGTTTCTAGTTCGACGCGATTTCTACAAAATTATGGCCTATGGCATTGTTTTCCCTTGTAAGAAAATGCGCTTAGAGGTAGGTGAAGCAACGGCTTGTAGCCTCTATATACTTAGGAATCGATACGATCGGTTTCTAATCAAACTCCCAAATGCACAATTCGTGTACTTAAATCGTGCTTGTGTTTATGAAAAATCTGTGTTACTTATATTTATTTTTCGTTTCGGTCTATTTCGGGTATTATTTGAGTTCTCATTGCTAGTGCATTACTTCATAAAGGCCATAAGCAATCAGTCTTATACAAGTAGTAGTACGTTACCTACTCATTCAAATAACATGCATCATTATACTACAAAAGGCCTTGCTTGTCTTTCGGTTGCTTAAGGCTCAAATGGGAAATATGTGGGAAAATATTTTCAAAGGTTTCTTCAACACATGATTCGTGTTTCACCGAATATGTGAGTAAATAATAGTAGTTAATAAGTAATTTTAATATTTGTAGGCGTCGTTACATTTTCTACAAAAAATTTTTGCCCAAAAACAGGGAAGAAATAAGTAACGGAGACAATATTCAACTGTTAAGGTTATTAAAATATGAGTCACCTATAAAAATCTTCACTTCGATAAACTCGTTGGTTGGCCTTTATCAATAAAAAGGAAGTAGGATTTACCTACATAGCGGACAATTAATACCGCCTGTTTGTTATTTTTTTGTAGTTTTACATTCAGTGGGTATTTGATCGCGGGCCCAAGGTCGCCTTTGTACAGCCTACGGCAGAAAGGAGGAGGTCAAGCGGCGACGGTCTCTAAAGATCAAGGTGGCTCTGATAGCATCGGGTGACGGCCGAATTGTATAACACGTTGAGGTTCCGTAGCAGTGTTGTTTGAATAGAAGATGTGCTGAATGACGCATTAACATGTACAACTTATTTTTCATTTGATTTGTGGCTGCTTGGGCTTGCTTATTACTTCAATCAATGAGGTAGAGCGAGCTTGCACCAGAAAGCACACTTACTTACTTCAAGCACACCATCGTAATTTGATCTGCAAGTGAATTAATTAATTGTAATGACAATAAAATGGAAAAGTATGCAACACAATAAGTAAGAAGCAGGTGATAGTAGCTTTATTTCTACACTAGCTTTCCGCCCGCGGCTTCGCACGCGTGAAATTTCGTTTGTCACAGATCGTCATAAATTATAGCCTATATGTTATACTGGATTATGAACAATAATACTGTAAAGTTTCATCAAAATCCGTTCAGTGGTTTTTGAGCCTATTCATTACAAACATACAAAAATAGGTACAAATCTTTTAAATAGGTAGGTTAAACTTTTACAACTGTTTGTCAGGTAGGCACTGCTTTATTACTGCAGCCTGTGTGCACCACACGCCATTTCAGATGGCACTGAGAATGACATCAACAAGAATATGACTTGAACGTATGGAAGTAACGTTAGTAACGCGCTTTTATAAAGATTCAACTTAGTTTAATTGAGTTTGCATTAAATTACCTTAATAATATGTACTCTATTACTCAGCTGATGCCTGTACTAGAAGACAAGTGAGGTTATTGGAGCATGCAAACTGTCATTGGGGTCACCACGATTTCATGGCAACCGCCGAAACTGCGAGAATCTAGCACAGATGGTGGATCACGAGGTAAATACAGCTGATAGTGATATGAACACTTAAGAAAACAAGCTCATATTCATTTAATAAACAGACACAGAACATGCAGTTTTAAGAACGTTAGTTAGGTTTGACTTGAATTTTAACTGTACAACTGACTTGTACTGTCTCTGGTATTATTTGCTAATATTCATTGCATTTACTGAATTGTATACCTAGTTAATAAGATAAGTTGAGACTTATTCTAATTATAATTTAATTATATTACGTCCATCTCGAAATATTTTCGTTAGTTATTAGTTAGAGATGTTACACTGTCATCGCAAATGGTGGATTTTTTTATAATTATATAACACCAACTTACGTTAACACAAGATCATAGAACAAGCACTTAAACGTGACGCACTTAATAAATGTGACGTAAGAACTTATAGGGGAGAGTTCGGTATATTGTACCGCCGGGTAAATTGTACCACCCTCATATTTCGTAAAGTATTTATTGAATGTCTGTAATTGTAACACTCAGCGATACACAACTAAAATCAATTAATATCGGCCATGTGGTTTTTGCCATGACAACAATCACGTGCGTTTTATTTTGAAAAGTATTTTTTCATTGTTTTCAAGTAACTTTTGACAATACATGTTTAGTTTGTAATTTTGTTAAATTTAATCACATGGTGTTTCTAAAATATTATTTAGAAGCGTAAATTAGTGTGGATTACAATTATTTGAAACATTTTTCGGTATTTATAAGCTATATTTTTTACCGATTTTTTAAAAGCACTATCACCTAGTCGGCTAAATTGTACCTCATCAAGTTGTATGGAACTTTACCAAAGGATTTTGAATTTTTTTTAGTAAATCATATTTTGAAGTAAAATAGCGTAGTTATGTTTGACTAACAATAAATGAAAGCAAAAGACTGGCAAAGTAGATTAGGTAGAAGTGTGCGTTACGATAATTGGAATTACAAAACTTGTACTCAAAATCGTGATAACGTGAAAAACAATATCGATTGTCTATGTTATTAACTACTGTTCCTTTTCGTTTCCTAATTTGTTAAGAATGTATCGTATAATATTTTGCCATAGTTTTTTTATAGGCTTGAAATTTATTGAAATCCAATTTAGTAACCCTGTGGTACAAATTATCGAACCGGTTGGCTAAATTGGACCGAAGCTCTGAACTCGTACTTTGTTGATTTGTGCTAAATATACAACAATCATGTTAATTAATACTTATGAAATAGTAAGTTGAATAATGTATCTTTTACTATATACTATGGACATTAGCAAAAACAAAAGAAAACTATGTGTAAAATGGGATTGAAAAAACTGGTCCAAATTAGCGGACTCTCCCTTAATGTTTAATAACATTAACACGTCGTTAATTCATCTCTTTACTTTACTCATGATGTTTATACATCTAATGGTAAACCAATCACTATAAATAGCTATGTAATGGTATCTGCAATTACAAAATCTAATCAATTTCTAGTTATAAAGATCATTGGAAAGTGACTAAATGTATTCAAATTCAATATTCGATAAAATCATCATTAATATTCATGATAATAATAACTCCGATAGTGGGAATGTATTCTGGGTAGTTAGTTACATTATATTTTCTAATCAATAAAATATGAAGTTATTAACATCTGCCTAAGATTAATTGGAAAATAATAGACAGTAAAAAAAGTACAATAGAATGATCTAACTCGTAGAGAATGAGAAGAACCCTATCTTGCTGACTCTCAATTATTTAATTAAACGGCGAATCAATTAGAAACAACTGATAGTTACGACTTACATCCGTAACTATAAAACATATTGTTTAAACGACTGATTACGTATAGGTACTCGTAGTTCCGAAAGCTTCAGAAGATGATGTGATGAAACTCAATACCAATTTCCTAGTCTAGAGGCTCAGTTCAGCTGTTTTTCAGCCATTTAAGGCACTTTTCAGGAAATGATTTTTAGATAGGTGATGTGGAAGTTTGAAGAGCTTTTCCTGAAACCTGTTCTCTCCAGAATTTGCAATTGTTACTTAGACCTGTGCCTTTATATTTTTATGGGGCAATAGGTGGATTCAAGTCCATACTTAATTCTGAGGCCCCACAAATTGATTACAATAGCATTTTTGTGCTAATTAGTGGGTCACGAAAACCGTCGCGTATTGGTAACATGTTCAGCTCTGTAGAAGGCTAACCTACAAAATTGTATAACTTTATGTAAATAGTGTTGATAAAGCTTGATGCAATTGAGTTCGATTAAATTATATAAAGACATTTATTTTGTTGCCGCTAAATTCGTTCATTAATTTGATATACAGGGTGTCTCAAAATTAGCACGTCACTCGGACACCAGATGACATTATATGATGCGTCTTAGGCCCAGCTACCTCCAGGGTCAGTACCATATATAAAGATTACAACGTTTTTAAATATTTTTTCAACAAACAATGGAGTACCTTGGTAAGTTCCTTGACCAGAAAATCGCAATCGTTTTGTTATAGAAATGAAGCAAATTACATTTTATGAGAGGTAACAGAGAAAAGCATTATCTACGAGCGGATTGCGTGATGCATGATTCCTTTGCACCGGTTTAATAGACATCTTATCGATGCTAACGTACCTTTCTTTTCGTATTGAAATTTCGCAATGTGGTCACGCGCTCGAAAAGTTGCAAGAGCAGTGTAAATGTTTTCCCACGTGCGCAATTTGGTTGGTAAATAAACAAGGTGTGATAGTGTTATCTGAGTGCGGCGGGCCTGGTGGTAGGAGGGGCAGGTCCCGTTGCGGCGCGGGCCGGCCGCTCGGCCACAGCTGATTTCACATGTACTCTGCCGCGCCGCGGTGTCACACGCCCGTCCGCGCTCGCCTTCGGAAAATGCCGGTTGTCTTGTGTCAATGAAAACACGTGAATGTGACTTTGGACTATCGTAACCTGTTGGAAACTGTACAGTTAAACATCCAGACTTAGCTGGTAAGTCAACCATGTTTCTAGCATAAGTTTCTAATAGCGTATGGATATTAGCAATAACTGGTGAACCGGTTAGACTGAATAAGTAGGTAAAAGTAATTAGCATGCAAGGTAGAAAGATGCTGTTTCGAATGAATAATTTTATATTACGTTAAATGTTGAGTAGCTCTTAGATATTCGATAAAATAATTAAATATTTCCTGGATTAAGGTATAAAGATTTGGATTATCAAATAAAGATAAATTAGGTATTATTACATTTTTATATGATCCTGACGTTATACTCGTAATCCATTATAAATCAAGTTTTCGATAAGTAGCTATTTTTATAATAAATATCGTAAACAGAATTGCTTTGTTTTGCGAGTTAGGTATTGATTAGGTTTTTAAATAAATTGCATGAATATTGTCCATTTAATTAATGGCAAAAAGTCTCAAATAAACACGAATTTTGATGCCTTCGAAATTAATTATAGATGTTAATTTAACACTGAATAGGTAATAAATAAAAGAAAGTCAGAATGCACATAATGATCCGAGAAAACTTTTCAGTAGTTACGAAACTTTCGAACTTGTAAAGTTTTATCTAATCGTTCCCATTCTTTTCGAACAAATAATCATGTTAAGGCAGTTAATGAACCATGTAATTAGAAGATAATTAGCTATTAATTGTGCATAATATTATGTATGGCTATTAAAACTCCAATCAGTTCCCAAACTACTTATGCATGTAGCCAATAACAATATGTAACCAAAACTTTTCACTAAAACTTATTACGCGTATTAATAAAAAGCCTTGATTGTTAATCTGAAGATCTTAATAATTTGTGTAACCTTGACATATGAAGTAATTAGCGACATTGTACGAGGTACCCGATGCGAATCATCGCGATGCATACTGCGGTGCTGCGGTCGTGTGTTGTGGCGGTGTTGTTGCCGTTAGCCGATGCACCGGTGTGCGTGCGCGCCGTCTGTTCTTATACAGGCTGTATATTGTTGAATTCTCAGTTTTGACAAGTGTAAGAGACACAATAACATCGCTCACAGTACCTACATAATAAAAGAAGGAGTATTGATCATAATAATCATAATATCTTTATTGCTTCATGTGGTATTGATCGTTTCAAGCTAGGCATATTAGGTATAACCCTCATTTCAGCTATTGGACGTATAATGAACATAGGCTTTCCTAAACAACTGTGTAAGACATGTCTACACAGATGCAACACAAAGCTCAATCGGTCTACGATAATTTTAAATCTAGATATCGTATCAATCCCCATATTTTTTATCAGATATTAACCCACATAAGTCACTCCCTTCACAATCAATATTGGCAGTATTGGCACATGTTCGATTTGGTATTTAACTGTTGCGTGCGTAAATGTCTTTCCTGACTTTACGCAACGATTTTTTGCATAAACATTCAACCCGCAATTCAAATATTTGATAAGAATTGTAAATTTTAAATGGTTGAAGTGTTTTATTTTTATACACAGTTAATATATTAATATCAAGTGAGTTGGTTTAGAAAACGGGTTTGAAACGGTCATAAACGGCGCAGTCGCATGAGGCCTTAATCGTTTGGTTTATGCAAACGGACATGCGCGTGAAAGATTCAGACGAATGGTATAAATTATCCGGCAATGAGCGATGTTTCCCCGCCTATTAGACTTAACAATAGTCCTCATGTTAAATTAACCGTTTTCCAAGAAAAGTTATTGAAAAGAAAAATCTTTCCATTTACTGACACATTTCCGATTTCCTGATTGTAAGTATCATCAGTATCATTCATAAATGTGTCATAATAACGTACCTAAAGCGATAAAAGTACGAGTAATTTATTTACCTTATTCATATATTATATTTTATTATTAAATGCCTAAAACCGATTACACACGGTCTAATAGTTTTATCACAGAATAGATAATATTTTTATCTAGTAGTTGCGGAACGAGTCATTATTTACATATTCGGATAACGCATTATCTTTCTAATACCATAGCTTTTGCCATGGATGTTCTTATCTCAGAGTAAATAGCAACAGCTAGGCGTCACGTATATTCAGGGCCATGTTCCATATTTTTATAAATAAGCAATTCAGCAGTCGTGCACGTCAATCAAGGCAAATGCAGTTTCAAGAACTTGAAGGTGCGGTTTTTAAAACACAGACTTTGATAAATCACAACTTCACGTGACTGCAAATCTAGGTATCTGATAGGTATATCTGCAGCTACAGCCATACGTCCAATTGAGAAAATCTACATTTCAATTTGTACAATAAAATATCTATTTAAATTAGTTCATCGAATTATACAACATCCTGTACATACTCGTAGAGTTTGCTCGGCTGCTTTTGGATCACTAAGCTCGAACGCTTGCGCCGATACAACTGAATGCTTATTTTGTTTTTTATCCTCGCCGATCGCACCTTACCATACGTGGGAAGCTTTGAACATTCTTTGCTGCGTATTGTGTCTGTTTTCACAAGATTTCCTATAGCACACACGGAATTGGCCGATAACCTGACACATTAACTGCATATGAGACACGCTCTCACTAACAAAAAACATTGAGTGTGTAATTTATTCTGTATGCGTTGCATGTGTGAAATACATGCCTTATCCATTAGTCTTCTTGACACTCTGACTTGTTTAAATCCTTGTTTCAAAATAATTCAAAAACGTGTGAAAAGTTTGAGACCTCAAAGGTCTAGTCTGGTGATGTACGAGTATGAATGACCTGTGAAAGTGGTACAAACAAACACCTGCTTTCACTTTTCATGATACCTACTATTAATACTACTACAAGAAATAATTTATTTAAGTATCAATCGCATTGCGTAATTAAAACGACGATTACAAACGCATTATGGCAAAAGTCGATTTATCTACGTTCAATGTTTACTTAGGTACGACGTCTTACTTTATGTCGTAACCGTATCAAAAAGCGATTTACGTAAAATAAATGGCAGACTTGACGAGACAAGCAAGAAACATTAGAGACGCTCCGTGGCCGCAGCAGCTGCGCCTGCGACTCTTCCGGATCTAATTGCCGAATGACCATTTTACTGCTCGTTCCGTGACATGATGACTTTAAAACTTCCAGCATTTTATTATTTGTGCATTTATTTTAAAAGAATGCACTTTCAGCTTAAAAAGAAAACACTGGTAAACTCAGGCTTTAACTGTGAGCACGACAGGTTTTTATTATGGCATCTAAAAATAAATCGTAACAACTGCACTGGTAGATTGATATCTTTTGAATGTACAAGTTGGGAACACGTATGCTTGTTTATTAATATCGCGTTTTAGCTAACGCTATCTATAAATTTTGAAATAGCGTGTAGATAATCATGAATGATTGTTTAAGTATTATCGGTCAAATATAAAAAGTTTTCAAGTTTTTACCTCTAGTTCACTTTGTTTTAATGTTCCATAGAAATATTTAGTGGTGTGCGCTTGCATTCAACGTTCCGTTTAATACTTCTGCATAATCGGGCGGTTATTCATCGGGCATTGGACGCGGTCGAAGCGTTTCGTTCCACGGCGATACGTCACGGCAGTTGTCAATCAGAGCGTCGAGATGCGCTTGCGCATCGCACGATATCGACCCCGTTAAGATAAAATCAGATTCATTTCTGTTTTTTCATTCAGCATCTTTCAATCAAAATGAAACTACTGCAAATGATATATGTCAATCTACCTTATTAGATTTCGGTATTAAAGTGAGCATTCACACGAGTCAACTGCCTTTATCTGCATTGGCATTTGGCCCATCAGTTTCACTCCCGCCCTCCTCGATATCAATCGCATTTTGTTCGCAATGTTGAAATGCACCGACTCTATCTAGCTCGTAATGTCTACCCGCGTTTGTTGGATTACATTTTTTGCAATGAAATATTAGCATTCTCAAATCAGCGTGAAATTGAGCATTGTGTAGGTACACTTAGTTTCAGCTCACTCACAGCCATGTGGTGTAATTTTCGTTGTAACATATTAACGCAACGGCAGCTTGGGAGTCAGACGTTCTATCCAACTATGCTTCATGAGACGAGTTATAAAGTTAGAGGCTGATAAGCCCAGTGCAACAAAATTAAGGTTAATGTTAGTTCCCACGTGACTGTCATAGAAACGTGAATATGTAATGGTCTTGCTTTCCTCTGAACACTTCATCCAAGTCATTGGGAACGCATAGAAGATGTTTTTGACTAATCACTGCGTCATTAAGGTTTTTATTTGCAGTACCCTTTCAATGAATTGGCATAAGCTGAGCTTACATTTAGCTTTGATCAATAATAGAGTGGTAGTAATTGTTAGGAGTTAAACCATACCTCCGTGATCTAGTGGTGGGAGAGTTTGAATTTCTTGATCCGTTTGATTCTCAGGGGGTACATAAAAAAATGACAAAGTTTCCATATTATATTTGGTCAGAAGAAGTAGTAAAAAATAATGGGTTTTAATTTGAATAAGTACTTTACAGTTATATAATTTGCATAAGAAGTTAGTATATAACAGTTTCGTCAAGAAAATGTGGCAATTATGTAACTCGCACCTCTTTTTGGAGTATTTCGCATTCATAGGTTCAGATGTCGCGATGTTTGCGCATCTTAACACCAACATATTAACTATGCGTGAATTTTGTGTGTAGGGTTCAGTATGTGTGACACCAGTAATATACTACCATTGCCTCATTACTCTGCTTTGAAATAGGCATGTTTTGTATGACATTGCCACATAATGAGAGGTATTTGGTAATTACTGTCAGCTTTTTGTGAACAGCACCAACACATGCCAGTAATGATGACATACATCATTTTACGAGCATATTGCTTAACAAATTAATTAGGTTCGTGATTGAAGATCATCGTGATCTTGGTTTAAGAAGCATAAAGACAGCTAGGTTGTTTCACTTTTACGCGTTTTTATTTGGATTAAAAAGCAACATAATATATCGTAGCGTAGACGATTCAGTTCATTGCAAAAAGCCGATTACGAACCAATT